ATGTGGTCAGGGCTGGGGATTTAGCTCAGCAGCATAAGAACCTGCCTTGCAAACAGGCGGTCGTAAGTTGGATCTCCGGTACCGATTAAAAAATTTAATGTGGTCTTGGCATGTTTCTGAGAACACTCTGCAAACTGCTGTCATGAACCATGTGAGACAAATCTGATAGGGGCCCCTCAGTGAGGTTTCCCAATACTCTTACAAGGCGGTAATATCACTTCAGCCACTTTACAAACGAGGCAGGCAGGCAGGCTCAGGAGGGCCACACAACTTGCTCAAGGTCATGAAGCTGTCAGGGACTGGCTCACCGGCTACTTAAAAGAGTAGGGCAGTGACCCTGAGCTGAGGGGGGGGGCGTACAAAGGAAAAGGCAATCGACAGTGTCCATGTGACTGACTGGTGCTGGCACAGGAGCCAGGGGACTCTGCCAACAATCTGTCTGTCATAACAACATCAAGAACTCCGAAAACTTTCCCTAGGAGGCTGGACAGCCAGGAGCCACCCTCAGTGATGAGGCTAACGGCTGGCCCTCCAGTCACCCTGGCCTCAGCTGCCTGCACCAGGTTCTGGGCCAGTTCCGCCACAGTCCTGGTGAAGCTACACACTCCCCAGCATTCCACTCCTCAACCCCCTTCAACACATGCAAGCTGCCCAGCAATCACTTTTCCCCTTGACCAAAAGCTTTTTGAGGGGTCCTAAAAATTGATCATCATTTGTATTTCACCAGAGGAAGTGAAACAGATGTCTCCAAAAGCCACTCGACCTTCAACGTGAGGCAATTTGGTTTTATCAACCTGTCCTCAAGTATTAAATGCCTCCAGGCACTGCAGACTATAGCAGAACACCAAAACCAGTCTAAGAAGCACGCTAACAATTTCAACTCCACCTAACCCCAGGTTTCAAGGGGAAAATTCTACCTATGTGGGATGAGGCAGGCAGACAAAAAGGTCTGGCCTGAGCCTGTGAAATCTAGTTACTCACAGGCCACATGGCCAAACTCCCAGAATTGCTAGGCTGAGTCAATGCACTGAAAGCAAATGCTCGTAACAAGGCCATGGCACATCAGAACCACGGAATACTCACCACCCCACACCCAAACCTGAGCTTCTTCCTAGATTCTCAGAAAAAGGTCTCCATCTACCTCGAGAGCGATCTAGGAACCTTGTCCGATACCCTGGGCCTTGTCTGCAGCTAGCCAGCCCATGACCAGTCTGCTCACCTCCAGTCTTGGGGTACTGCTGCTGGCACTCCCAGCTTCTCTCCGTACTACAGTCCAGGAAGGCCTCCAGCCCGGCCCGTGCTGGCACTGGATGATAAACCTCATCTCAGTCTGTAACTTTACACCAGGCAAGGTGATTTCAGACCAGTTCTAATCTACAGTGCAATATGCAGTAAAATGTAGAATACAAAGTATAGAAATCCAGACACTATACTGCTGACATTTCATAGTTATGAGAGGAATTTTTAAACAGGAACTTAAGGTCTACTTTCCACATCAATCTATCATCCCCCATCCCCCCGCTCCCGCCCCCGCAACTGCAAACCTCAAACGCAATTCAAACCAATGTTGTGAAAATCTAGCAGCCAGTGCAAGTCCAGCCAGCCAAGAAAGCATTTGCTTTTGCAGCCTAAAATAAATGCTGCTTGGCCAGGTATAGTGGCACAAGCCCATAATACCAGCATCCAGGAGGAGACAAGATGACTGTTTCACGTCATTTTGGGTTGAAAGTTCAGGGTCTCAAGAAACAAACAAACAAATGCCATAAGGAAAGTGGTTTGGGATTAAGGGAAAAGCTACCAGCAAAACAAAAGTTTCGATAAATAGGTTAAAAACTCCACAATCACTAGTTTTATCACGCCAAAATGTGTGCATCCAGTGTGTTTACTGTCTTGCTTCTGGCCTTGCAGTAAACAGAAATTTTGATGACATAGCACAGCTCAATAAAATCAGGATCCTATTTTATCTTTCTGCAATCTTGTTGACAAATGACCCAACGTGCACTGCAGAACGACGATGGATTGGAACCCTTGAAACGACGAGCAAAAATGAACATTCTCTCCTGTGAGCAGACTTATATGAGGTATTTTGTCATAGCAATGAAAAACTAACACAGATGAACCCAGACTGACTTACCTTGATGTCTATTAAAACCCAATGGCAATTTCTGCCTAAGAAAACAAAAGGTCCTCAATAGCTAAGATACTCTTGGGGAAAAAAGTTGGAAGACTCAACATTTCCTTATTTCAACTTACTACAGAGATGCGGTGCTCAAAAATATACTGGTAGAATGGGATGAAAGAGGAAGCCCAGATGGAAACTCAGGAATACCAGGCTAACAGATCTTTGGCAAGTGGGACAAGACAGAGAGAAAGTCTTCTCAACAAACAGCACTGGGAAAGTGGCCACCCACTGCAAAGCTCAGGTTGACTTTCATGTTACTCCATATACAGAGATTAAAGCAAAATAAATCAAAGACCCAAATACAAAAGCTATAACCACTAACTCACAGAAAACCACAGGGCATCTTTGTGACATGCAAATTTCCTGGATAATAAGCCAAAAAAATACGTAATGAAAGAAAAATGTGGCTGTATCGAAGTTTAAAACTTCTGTGCATCAAAGGATATAATGTTTAAGAGAATGAAAAGACAATCCACAAAATGGGACAAAATATTTATGAACTACATTATCTATTTTTGATTATTTAGAATCTATTAAAAAAGAAAAAACTACAACTTAACAAAAATTACCCAATTGAATGAAAACATAGACAAAGGACTTAAAAAATGGTTTCTTCAAAGATACCCAAGTGCTCAGTTTGAACATGAGTAGATGCTCAGCATCACCGGTTACCAGGGTAACAGAAGTCTAATCACAGCGCCGTATCCTGTTCCACACTTACTAAGACAGCAATTACTCAAAAAAAAAGCAGGCAGGAACAAGTGTTACTAGCAAGGATGTGGAGAAACTGCAAGGCTGGTGCACTACTGGGGGAGTATTAAAATGCAGGTAACGCTACGGAAAACGGTGTGGTTGTTGACCAAACGGGTAAACATGGAATCCCATATGATTAGCAATTTCGGATATACAACCAGAACTAAAATCAGGGCCACCTGCAAGCCACTTGTCACAGCAGTGTAAGTCACAACTGCCATAAAGCAGAAACCGCTCAAATCTCAAAGGATGAATGCACTGACAAAACAAGGCACACACCGACAGTTATTATTCGAGCTTAAAAAGGAAGTAAATTCTGGCTCATGCTGCAACACGGAGGAGTGCTGAAAAGATGCCACCATGGAAGGCACTAGATGTGCATACACAAAGGTGAATGCAGGTTACCAGAGGCTCCGGGAGAGGTAAGGAGACTGGGAAGCCAGAAATAAACAGGTACAGATTCTGACTTGGGATGATGAAGAGTTCTAGAAATGGACGTGGTGGCAGGGGCACAACGCAGTGAATGTACTGTCATTTAGCTGAACATTTACAAATGGTCACAATGCAAACTTTTATTAACAGAGTTGAAGAAATGCTTGAATATTGACAGGTAAGGTTAAAAGCATTATTCTGCACCTGATGCTCTCCAGACAACCAGAGTCTGGGGAAACCACCAAAGAGGGGCAGGTTCTTTGGTAAAAGGAGGGTATCCCTACCCCACTGATGTTGCCACTGAGGTTGCCCTCAAGTGAAGTAAAATGCCAAGTACTGAACCAATCACATAGCAGCTATCCCTCAACGGAAAGCAAGCAGTGGAGACATATTCTAGAAAAAAAGTAAGAATGAAGAGAGGTAGGAAAAACCCAAAATGCAGGGGCTGGGGATTTAGCTCAGCGGCATAAGCGCCTGCCTTGAAAGCAGGCAGTCGTGAGTTCGATCCCCGGTACCGATGAAAAGGAAAAAGATAAAAAAAAAAAAAAAAAAAGAAAAACCCAAAATGCTAAAAGTACCAGCAACAAAGAAACTCAAGCAAGACGTGGGGAAGCATTCTTGGCTTTTCGACAGTTCAGGAAAAACTCTTAGATATACAGGATTTTACTGAAAGTTCAGTATGAAGCATACAATAAAAATGTTTAGAGAAAAGAATGCCATTTTAGGTCATGATAGTCTAGTTTGCTTGTTCCCAAGTTCATCCCGAGAACAAAGAACTGAATAGACAAGAGCACTTCCAGAACAGGGCTCCCCGCGATGGCGCAGGCTCCGAACTTCCTATGAACACGCAGGTGAGTGCCAGCAACAGAAGGCTGGCTGGGAGGATGAGGGTGGACGGCAAGGATGGGAGCTCAGAAGTGGAGCGGCTCCAGGTTCTCAAGGACAGGTGGGCTACGCTCGTGCTGAACACTGTTCGGGAGGAGGAACGGTGCAATGCAGGCCTTTCAGGTTGAGTTTATGATTCTAAGTATAAAAACGTGGCATTTCTCAAAAGACATGCTGTCACACAAAGACGAACAGAGTGCCTTAGTTTGGATCTGTGCTATAGATTTGGCCACTGGCAGCTTGGACTACCAGGCAATGACCGAGTGGGGCCTCAGGAAAGAAGTGCAGTCGGGGTGTGCTGTACCCTTGAAAGGGGCACTGACGCCGGGCCCCTCCTCACCCGTCTCCTTCCTTTTTTCTTTCTCTGCATCCTAGCTCTACCACATGCCCCACCACCACGATGGTCTGCCCTGCCACAGGCCCAAAACAAGAGAGCCACCTAACCAGAAGCTGAAACCTAGGAGGGTACAAGACAAAATCTTTCCTCTTTGTAAACTGACTGTCCCAGATGTTCTGTCACAGCAATGGAAAATGAACAGACCAATACAGCAAGCTATGTGTTAATTCAGTGCAGACACATTGTAGAATACTGTTTTATACAACTGCAATGCTCTTCTAGGGAAAATCCCTTTGGATAATAAAAGCGTTAGAATGTGCAAAAGCAGTAACATGATTTCCAGAATGTGCATTTCTAATTTGCAAATACATTTTAAGGAAAAGGGGGAAAAAAAACCCCAAAACCCACAAGCACAAATAAACCAACTTTAATAGATATTTTGTATTTATATAGCGCCTTCTTCAAGAACCTTAAATGCTTTACAGACATTATTTCTAATTAATCCCCACAACAACCCTGTGAGGTAGGTATTACTCCCGTTTGGCAAGACAGGGAGACTGAAGCACAGAGAGGTTAGGTGACTTGCCCAAGGTCACACGTGTGAGTTCACTAAGAGCCAGGACCTGAACAGCTCAGCCTCCCGGATTCCAGCCAAACTGGGAACCAAACTCATTCTCGTGAGAGAATCTTTAACGAAAAGCATCCTTAAAATAAAGTGTGAATAGTAGTATGTTATGAAAGTGAGGGCCTTCTACTGCCATCAAAGAAAGAGAACTGCCTATACTGATGATTAGAAGCATGAGACTCATCTGGAACAACATCCCCTTCCCTCCTCTTTCCTAAGCACCCGGCTCCTGTCACTGGTAAAGCCTCCCTGACAGAGCCGTATGACTTAGAAGTGGGACTTAAGAGTATTCACTTTCAGTTAATTTATAGAAATCTTTATTCTAATATACAAAATATGTGACAGCTATCCCAATAAACATGTACACAGTTATACAGTAATCAGCCCCATTTACGACCTCACCTGCTCACCTTAACCACAGCCAGCCAGCACACAGCGCCTCTGTAGGTGGGCCACTTCTCTTACCTACTACACCTGTACTTTTATTTTCCCAGCCCTAACCTTATATATTTTAAAAGTATGCTGAGTTTCTGATAGGCTTCAAAACATTTTACTTCGATCAGCTGCACTAAGAATAAAAAAGTTTAGAATCACCACTCGCTCACAGTCCCTCCCTGACAAATCATACTACGAACTACTGTGGAGACGGGAACAACGTGTGTGACAAACGGGACTCAATGCAAATGTCAGAGCTTGATGCACATGAAGTTAGCTTGCTTTGCCTGTATGGTGTCCTAAACGCAAATTGTACAAAACGCAACACGGTGTTCCAATGTTGTACCTTTGTGTAAATGACTTCATCTACCTCAATCCTTGCTGTGGCCTGGCTGATGTTAAATTTAACTCTGCTTCACTGTATCCCTTTTCTTTACAGAAACCTGTAAAAATACAACTTCAAATTCCAAAACAATTCAGCTCAAGCACTCAAAACACAAGCACTTCCACTCCTCTGACTTTCCCCACGTTGCTGGTTTTGACTCTCTGTGTAATGGAGGCAGATCCGGCAGGCTATGTGTAGTCTGTACAAAACAACGCCAGTCAGTCTAAGAGAAAGTGTATCTTAAAAATGAATTTGACAAAATATTTTTGATATTTTGTATGAACATCAAATATCATCATTTTCTCTCAGCACATCTGTCCAAGCAGGCCAATTAGTTAAGTAACCCTGTTTAAGATCTGTTGATGGGACAAATAGGTGAAGTCATTTCCTGAGCTAAAAGATACAGATAATAAATGTTAATAGCAGCACAGAAACATCATCTTTTGTCAACAGTTTTAGTAAAATAACTTTAGAAAAACTTTAAAAATTACTCCTGATGATAGGAAACATCCAATGCCTGACTGCTATTACTGTGAAAGTAATTTTCAAATATTTTCTGCGAGTTACATTTGGTCATTGCCAGACAACTTGCAGATGCATGGAAAAATATCAACTGCAATGATTTACACACATTTGACATTACATATATTCTTAAAACCTCCAGCAAAATGAAAAATATAAATCTTAATTTCTGAACATTCTTCCAATCAATCTGTAAAGTCACAGGGGGGAAAGGGGCTTTTTTTTTTTTTTTTTTTTTTTTTTTTTTGGTGATTACTGGCCTACCTAATCAAAATGTAATCTTTAGAAGAGTTTTTGGCTATAATCCAGGCTGCTAAGGTTATGATGAATATATTACCTTTTTCCAAAGTTAAAAAGACAAAGAAACTTGAAAATAGCATCGATGACATGAAGTTTCCAAGCAAGATTCAATCTGAAATGTCAGAGTATTTAAGAACTCTAAAAGACCAGTACATCACCACCGCACCAGAATTTCTTTTCATCATTCCAATAACTACAGAGACTTTAGTTTTTATTTTATTGAAATTAAAGCTGAATAAAATAAATGACTTATAAACTATGACAAAAGAACAAATACTCAGCCAGAGATATCAGTTCCTCCTGAAAAAAAAGTATTTACCTCCTTTCATTGCAATTTTTCTCAAGGTCTCTTAGTAATTTCAGATAGAATTTTAAATTCTCCTTAAAAATAAAAACAAACAAAAGGAATACTTAAGCTGACAAAGCTAATAAAAAATATGCTAAAATTTACTGACAGAATCATGGGCACTTCATACAATACTTAAGACTCTACCAGTTTTAAGTAAAATAAATAAGGAAGAAAATTATAATTACAAAGCCAGTCTTTCCCCTTGGGGAAACAAAAAGCCACCTTTGACCAATTGTTCCCTACATATACATATACTGTATATTATTATAAGCTTCTTCAGAGAAGCAAAACGTATTTGTCTTCCTGACACTGGATTCTAGTATGTTAGGTTTTTATATCAGGAAGGCAACTGCAAGTGTTGGGCCCAAAAGTATTCTGGTTTATGCTTGAAAAGACACTGAGCATGCTCTACGCATACTGACCTGGGCATCTGTGCAGCGCGTTCAGAATCACCTCCTACATCAGCAACACAACCCAGCACATACTCCAATTTTTCCTACTGCACCCCCAAGGAATTCAAATTATTACTGGTGCAATTTATAAAGAGAAAATGCGTGTCAATAACTGGAAGGCTGTTTTACAAGAGGAGCTGGCATCTCTGATTTCATTTCCTTGTTGTATGGAACCACACAGACAGCATGATACCTGAGCAAATAAATCAACTACCATGATAGGAAGGGCTTGTTAATCCATAGTCTTTGCTTTATTGTGTGCAAAGTATGCTACTGCCCCCTGAGCTTCCTGCATTTCTCTTTTCTTGAAAAATCAGTGCTTGATCCTTTCCAAAATAACCGGAGAAGAAACGAGGCAGAAAGATTCTCTTCATTACAGTCCTCCTCAGTCCCGGGACTGATAGAAAAGGATGTACCCAGACTCAGAGTTCTTTGAAATATCTGATGTCAACCCGTAGAATTCTTCAATAGCTTGTGCATCTATTTTCTGTGAAGCAAAATGTAAACATTAGTATACATATACCCTGGGCAACCAGAATGGCTTAAAGTCAGACAATACCCAGCACTGGTGAGCTGGGTATTGGATTTGAAAAACTGTTAAACAACATTCAGGAAGCTAAACATATGAATACCCTTTAATCCAGCAACTCGAACTCTAAGTGTAGGTTCAATGCATGAAATGTATTAATTTCAATCATTTTAGAAATGTATTAATTTCAATCACTGTAGCCCTACAAAAGTGGTAATTACCAATGGTCCAACCTAATGTAAGAATCCAAGAAAACTGAGTGAAAAACTCTAATATAAAACTTGCACAATGATATCAAAAGGCTTCTGTTCCTAATAGTGAAAAACTGATAAAAAGCCAAACTTTTCACTGGGTATATTTACATAGCAAAAAAATTACAAATCAACTACTATAGCAACAACAAGAGGGAATCTCACAATGTAGTGATGAGTGAAGAAAGCTAGATCCAAGAGAAAGTATACTGTACAAATGCATTTATACTGCAACGCAGGCAAAATTAATCACGATTATTAATTTAGTCATTAATCAGTTGCAGGGGAGAGAATACGAGGGGAACCTGCCAGGGTATTGAAAATATACCGCATCTTCATCTGGCCAGTGGCTGACAAGTATCTACACTCAAGCAAATAAAAATCCATCGAGTTGTGTAAAATTTTTGTGCTTTATGTATATTACATAGCTCTTTAAAAGTAAAGAAAGAATTTTTTTGTAAACTAGCTCAATTAGTGAAACGCTGCTCTTGTTTATCCTAGTTATTAATGGTTGGTTGGCCACTCAAGCACTGGGCTTGGACATTAGAAAGTAAAAAGGTAAAATTAAACTATACCTAAAACCCGGACATTTGTCTAACATTCATCACTAGTCATATATGAAAAACCAAAGAGCAAAATATATTCATAACTTTAAAGAAAATTATGAAATTAATAAACTACTTACTTCTACAATGTCGTCGTCAAACAACAACCAAAAATCATGACTCTTAACTATTGCAATATAATGTCCTCGATTGGGACCACTAAATCAAAAGAAGAAAAAAAGAACAGTTAATTTTATTATGCTTATTCATATTACTTTTTCAAGCTCTGAATTTGATGTTCTATAGGAAAACTAAAACAGATTAGGATATTCCTTATATATTCTCCTCACCCCCAAAAGATAGAGCTATACTGTTTTGAAATGGAATCCATTCAGAATCAAGTAAATACTATGAGTTTCCCAAAACCTGGGAAAAAGGACAAGTGCTTTGTTTTAAATTATTAAAGGAATTATATGTAATCAATGAAGGCTCTTTATGTTGCAAATGTAAGTTTTCATTATGTGATGCTCTTCTCTGGAAATTTTTATTCTATAAATTAAATAAACAAAAATATAAACCCATCCATGTGGAGAAGACAGGAAAACCACTGCTAGAAAAGAGAATCAAAATGAGACTGCAGTAACTGAGTAAAAAGAAGTGATAAATACACTCACTGGGACAATCAGGAAAATGGCCTTTGAAGAGTATTTCCAAACCCTTTTAACTACTTTCCATAACCATTAATAGGATGGGTATCTCCAGTTAACCTCAGAAATGATTTATATTGCAACATTTATTTAGGCAGCATCATTTTACCAACAACCAGCAAAACAAGCAAACAAAAAACAGACTTTAAAGTATCAGAAACACAGGACATAGTATCCTTAGAATAATAAATAAAAGAAATGAAAATTAAGGCAATAATTTATGAAGGCTTTAAGAAGCGTTTCAATGTGCTTCTGGACAATTCACTCTGAAGTACAATTCACCCTGAGCAGAAGCTCTCCCTTCACTCGCACACTCCCAGCATCCTGAACGTGCTCCGCGCCATCCTCCACCACGTCCCCAGAGGCGCAAGTACCTTCCACAGTGAACCACCACAGCCACGAGGTCGTACATTCGGTCGGGATTGGTTGCATCACCTGAAGTGTTAAACAGACGGAGTTCTAAAGGAAAAACTACCCGGTAAGAGAGTTTTGCGTATCGATGAAGCTGATCCATGTATTTAAATCTCTTCAGATGCAGAGCTAGAATCATGGGCAGTTTTTTAACTTTCATCCTATCAAAAACAAAGATGAAAATAAAATTTCATAAAAAACATGGTACATGTCCTTAAGCCAATGATGAAACTTAATGATATCCAATTAACGGATTAACTCATGGTCAGGTTTAGTAGCCCACACTGCCTAGTTCTGCATACTTCAATTATACCCCACCGGACCAACCACCCACAAGCCCCAGCACACAGTAAGTGCCCAACACAACTGGACCGGCATCAGTCCTCTGTTAAGAGTTGTTTGCTAAACACAGCTCCTTAAAGTGCACATGGTGCCCAGGAGTGCTGGAGGAAAACAGATTGCTTAAGCTGCCAATTCCTTTAGAATGCAACCCATTTGGTTCTATTAATCTATATAATGCAAGACTAGAGGGACGATGGGAGAAGGAAATGAGAAGTATCAGAGACTAGTCAGTCAAGGGTGTTTGCAGATAAGCAATAGCCCCATTCCAGGAATTACAATTAGGCTACTGCAAAACTCCTAAGGAATAAAATAATATAGAAACGTACAAGTTTAACTGGGACACACAGGCTTCCCTTTACAATCAAATGCTCTTTACTATGCCCTCCAATGTTCTTTCTCCCTGAGATTTGGGGGGTGGGGTACGTGGGATTGAACTCAGGACCTTGCACTTGCCAGGTAGGCACTTAGGATATTGCTCTTGCCAGGTAGGCTGAGCTAAATCCCCGGCCCCCTCCCTGAGATTCTTTAAAGGCAAAGCACCAAATATCACACCCTCTGCCACTAACAACTGCTCTCTTCAATCCTCTATCAGCACTTTACGGATTCACTTTACAGATGTAAACATTGGGGCCGGGGATATGGCTCAGTGGCATAGCGCCTGTCAGTCAGGCGAAAGTCATGAGTTCGATTCCCAGCACCCCTACACCCCCCCCCCCAAAAAAAGAAGAAAAATCTACAGATGTCAAGATTTGGTGGTAAAGCATTTAGGTGATTATGGGTCTTTCATTTCTTCTAAGATCTGAACTCTTGACAGCCAGAGCCATTTCTTCTACTTTTATTTTCCACTATCCACCACCAAAGTTTGGCATGTGATGAATACTGGGGAACTAAATTTAATGCGGGTTCAGTGGAGCAAAACATCCCCATAATTAAATAAATGAAATTTACAAGCCATTACCTCTAATGAAAGGAAAAGAATAAAGTCATTTTATAGCATTATAGCATTCCACAAAGCATAAATGCAGCAGGCATCTTATTATTCCTATAATATTTACTACTTAATTAGCCTGGCCTTTGAAAATCAGTGGTCAAAATAAAAGTAAACATTTAGCCATTCCTTGAAACAACCTAGCAATAAGAATTAAGATCCTTCATGAACTTTGTTCTCATTTATTTAATACAAATTAAATATACCATCTCAAACATAGCACTCGACAAGAAAGCTAGATTTTTTTACTTGTAAGAAATCCTAAAAAGAAAAAATAATAAAGAAATCCTACCTATTCGACAAGAGGAAATGCTGAAATAAATGGACAAACAGCACAGAATATTATGTAACTTCAATTAAGGCTGCTGAAAGTGAGTGACATGGGAACATACATATGTAAACAAAGACACTGGGATAAAAATTTACATGCAATTTTCAATCACATCTGTGATTAAACTGATGGAGACCTGCTTAAAACAAAATCTTATAAAACAACAATGTATCTTTTGAAAATTCTCAAAGTGTGTAAATTCAGAATTTTCTCAGGATAAAACAAGTGTCAGTGTAGAGATGACAGTTAAGATAAAGAGGGTCTTAAGTGAACACAGCCTGATGGTTAGGAGGACAATGCTTCTAGGGGCTGAACAAGCACAGAGGAGGATACCTTCAAAAGGACAGAAACGTCTAAATGATAAAACATGTTTGATCAGACGACACACGAAGACTATCAATGCTATCTGGCGGAGTAAGCCTAGAGGATAACTACCATCTACCACAAAGAAGCCAAACCCTCCAGGATAAACAGGAGACTCAGAAATATCTGTGGCACATGTGTTAAAAGATGAGAGACTGGCTTATAAACTCTCCCTCATATTAAAATGGTTCTGTAAGAAAAAGAGAGAATTCCTTAGCCTTGCATAAGGAGAATAAAATTCATTATTCTATAGGGAAAAAAAAGAGGGAAAAATTAATACACTGAGGAATTTACAGGATCCTGGCTTTTTAGGATGCTCTTGATTGCCATCAATTTGTTTTTGTTGTTGTTTCTTTTTTTGTCTGTTTAGAGACAGGGGTCTTACTGTGTAGTTCAGGCTGGCCTTGAACTCACTGTGTAGCATAGACTGGCCTCAAACTCAAAGTGACCTTAATGCTTCTGCTTCATTGTTTTTTTTTAAAAAGTTGTCGGGGGCTGGGGATTTAGCTCAGCGGCATAAGCGCCTGCCTTGCAAGCAGGCAGTCGTGAGTTCAATCCCTGGTACTGATAAAAACGAAAAAGACAAAAAAAAAAAAAAGTTGTCTTAGAATGTAAGCTTTCGAGGGCTGGAGATACAGTTTAGTGGCAGAGTGCATGCAAAGAAGAGAAGGGGAAGAAGAAAGGAAAGGGGAAAGAGAAGCAATTTTTATTAATTTAAAGTTTGACTTCAACATAATTTTTAAATCTTCTATAAACTGGCTTAACGAGAAGCAACCAGCTCGCCTCCTTGGTAAGCGGCAGCGGTGTGGCAGGGTGTGGCAGGCTGCGGCCCCTCCAGGGGGAGAACCACCAGCGTTGCCTGAGATCTGCACCATGTTGGAACTTAAGAGTGCTGGGAAACCAAGCAACCAGTCCACCTCCTTGCTAAGCAATAGTGAGCCTACCAGTGCACAGGCTGAGAGTCAAACATCCCACTTCCCTGCCCGCCCCGTTAGCAAATGGGAACCAGAGATCTGAGCATCTCTTGGGAGGTTGACCATATGCAATACAGCAAATAGAGGGATTTTCTTCTACCATCTCTTTGAAGGCAAATTATTTTTACTACTGTTGTGCTTTATTCTGATTAATGGTACTGCTCTATTTAATATTGTTTTGATAAGTTCTATAATGTTTTGTATTTCATTTTATTATGCTATATGTGATTGAAAGAACAACTATTGGGAAGATAATAAGATATACTGTGTACCTATTGCTGTTATCCTGGTAACCTGCTGTGAAGTTCTGTACCAATTTCACTACACTGTCTAAATTGGTTTTGTTCTTTCTTGTTCTGTTGAATTTTACTACCTTCAAAATAAAAAAAAAAAAAAAGTAACTGGCTTAACGATTCTTTTTCTATTTCTATTTAAACTTGTTATTTTTTTAAAGGGTGTTTACTGCCATATAACTTAAGTTTGGATGACTACAAAGTTACATTTTCTTGCTCTTATATCTTTAAAACTGTAAGTTATATTCATTTTTCATTGTAATACTGTTTACTTTTCTTGATAGCATCTAATTATAATTTAAAACTATAAAAAGTACAAGGATGGAAAAAGATAGCATATGAGCATTTACCCTAAATATTTTGGTTATATTAATATTAGACAAAGTAGACTTTAATACAAGGAATTGCCAGAGGGAAAAGACAGACACTTCATAAAATGATAGTCAACTAATGGAAAGGAGACAACAATGTCAAAAGCTACACTCATAATACCAAAGCCTCAAAATTTCATAAAATTAAAGAGATCAACTTAAATCAGAGCCAGAGTCTTCAGCAGGCTCTTCTCATAAACAAAAGATCAATAAGCACAAAGAAGCCATGAATCATCTACTTGCAGATTAAAGTGACACTGATGGACCCAGACTACAGAATACACATTCTTCGTAAGCACAATTAGGACATTCACCAACTTACTGGACAATAAAAGTAGTCTTAATAAGTTTCAAGACTGAAATCATGGAGTATATCCTCTGATAAAGACCAAAAAAACAAAACTAGAAAATCCTCCAAAACATGAAAACTAGGCAGCATACTGCTAAGAAACCTACGGGATAAACAGAAAACCACAAGAGAAGTTACAATATTTTGAAATGGATGATAATGAAAATACAACTTCCCAAGAGCTGACACAGAGACAAAATCGTGAGACAAAGTTAGAACAGCACTCCTTGGGCACAGGAAGGGAGGCAGCACCCAAGCAAAATTCCAGAGGCACAAGGCAGCCCAACCTCACAGAGAAGGCCTGGAGTAGAGCCCTGGTAGGTAGTGCGGCTCTTCATCCTCTCCAGCACCTGTCAGCCAATGACCAGGGGCTGCAGGCGGAGAGAAATGCTCAGAAATGCACTTCTCCAGCAGGAGCCAAGGTAGAGTCCCCACAAGACCATGTGTTCAAATATATAGAAATATGTGGTAATCATGATTCCCCATTATTTGGCCTTGAAGCCTTATAAAGTTTTCACTTATTAATTGGAAAGGCTATATTCTGGGCTTCTTGATATGGAAATATTTGAAGCTATAGTATATGAAATTTTATTCAAATATTTCAAGGAAAAAGACAGACACTATGGTAACTACTATTAAGTCGGGTTATTTGGTGGTGAAGCACTAGGTTGCTGAAACAGTCATGCTTTGACCTGTATTGTTATATTATTGTGTCCTGTTTTATCTCAATCTCTCCCTTATTCTTTAAAAAAATTATTTAATTATTTCTTATGTTTGTTTTAATTAAGGGGGAAAATTAAAAAAATTAACAGGATATATAATAGTAACTTTTTTTGATTTCCTATTAACTTGTTTTGAAGTCCTGTAATACTCCCACGATCTTGTTTTGACTGATTAGACTCTGTTCCATTCTGTATGATAGTATCAAGTTTGAGGGTATAGGCAACTACTTTGAAGGCAATAAGATTCACTAAGATGCCCATTCTGGTTTGACTATTGTCTCCTTTGGAAGTCCTGTAATGTTTACAATGCTTAAGTTTTATTGGTCTTGTTCTCTACTGTTTTGTTCAACTTTATAATATCTAATGAGATAGACGATTCTTTTTAAGGAAACAAGAGACATTGTTGATAACCATTGTTGATAACCTTG